ATATATATATATATATATATATATATATATATATATATATATATATATATCCGTGTATGTAGAGTATGCAGCTGAAAGGTTTGATGAACCGATTCAGTCCTGTTTTACTGAACTTCGCCGCTTGTTTCAAAATATGTCTTGAACAAGGGAACAGCGGTAGTATGTTATTCCATATTGATTTTTCATTGGATATATTCTACAGTAAGACACCTTAGTCTACTAACAAATTATTATGGAATTACCTACTACCATGATGCCGAGGCTTTACACATATTATTTGACTTATTGACTTCCTGTTCGAAGATTGACCTACGTTGATCAGACTCACACAACTTTCACAGACTGAAGTAAGACTCTCAAACCATCGGATTTTCAACATTCGATACGTGAGAAATGAGATAATTTCTAGATAATTTAGGTCTACAAGCTTCAACCTCTATAGGCAGAGTTAAGACGATAATGGAACGACTAGAAAAGTACCTTTAAGATAGTGGATTCACAGAATAGTGGAGAAGTTACGAACTGTCTGAAATAAAATGGAATAACTGAAACACCAATTAATGCAGATAGTTGGCGACAAGGATTGTGTTCCTATAATAGGATATTTTAACAAAGTTTTATTGGTAACATTCAATAAGTAAAAATATACACACAACAAGAACTTCAACAAAGCAATCACAGAAATCTTTGTCCGAGAATGAGGAGGCTTGCAGTGTAAGACATCGTCGATGATCGATAGGTCAAAATGGGTTATCAATCCCAGAAAAGGTTTTAAGTCCTACAAAAATAAGTGTACTAGAAAAGGGACTAAATTTCAAAGCAGCAGGAGACAAGTTGAAACCGGAGATGTCACTCCAGAAATAGAAATAGCATTAAATGCAATAAATGAGACAACTGCAGATGATGAATAAGTGCAGTGTGCACCTAGCATTAAAACAACAGGAAAGAAAATATAACTTAATAAAGTCAGAAAGCGGAGCACTAAAGAATCTTGAGAATAGCAATGGCACAGCGATTACAAAATCAGAGAGAGAGAGAGACAAAAGCACATTGCAACTTGACAAATTTGATTATTTGCGAAACGTTAATACTCACAAAAGAACCATATGAATAAATTAGGAAACCAATAGATGATGTCATGAATTAAGAAATCCATAACGGACCTTCCAAAAAAAAAAAAAGAAAATTAAAGGAGACAGGTCCATACAAGTGAAGTGGTCACAGACTAACCGAGCAAACAGAAAGAGAGACCAACATGCACACACACATAAATATATATATGTGGATACATATCAGGACATTTTACGACGAATGAAACAGTTTACAGGAGAGTCTACACAATTCAATTTAATGCCCAAAATTTATAAACCCACTAGGATGTATGGTATTCCTACAGTTCATAAATCAAGATATTCCATTAGATTCAAAGTTTGTTGTAGAAATTCTCCGCCCTATGAATTGCCTAAACATTTACTTATGGTTCGGTAAGAAACTATTCAAAATCGAGACTTACTCATTTTTATGAACCGAAAGAACAAAGACCAGTCTCGATATCGTCAATTAACAAACCAAAATACCATGAAACACGGCAGCAGACGTGGTCAGGAAGGAACTAAATTCCGACCGAAAACTTAGATTTAGAACCAAAGTGCCCACCAGGAGAAATCATACGAGGAGAGTAGTAATGTCTGACTTCTACACTATTTAAGTTTCAAGGAAAAATATGCGATCAAGCAGAAGCTGCTATCGGGTCAAATATATGCCTAATTGTGGCAGACATATTTATCGACAGGAAGAAAAGTTAGCGATTAGAATGTTAAGGTTCACCTTCAAAATATGGTGGAGAGTTGTATATGTCACGTTCACAGTGTTAAAAACGCAAGATAAAAGTAGGTTTTTCACGCATATCAACTCAATGGTAAACACAGTTCAATTCACGAGCTGAAATCAGCTAGAGAACTATTAGGATGCTAGGAAGTACTGCACACCCGTTTCATTCTCGTCTGTGACTCTTCATCAGTATACACCTACGCAGGACCTCAGTGATACAAGGCAAACTCGTTGAACATTTTGCCACTGGGACCCGCTGCAATAATACTGGTTTTTCCAGTGATTCTAATTGATGTCAGTTTATGATCAAACCTGTGACCAATCAAACTCTTTCAAACCAACTCCGTGAAAATTACTTTATGATTACTAGCGGGTGACTACATACAGGCGTTACCTGGAATTCTAGTCAGAAGTAACCAGCTGGGTCCACCAAGTATGTCAAGATGGTGGTTACTCGTCCATGATGTTGGCTGGCAGTTGGGTCATATATATCGCGAAAGGACAGAAATTGTAATTCATGGACCATTCATTACACAGCTTCACAGTGACTGGATGGTTTACAAACTTGCCTTGTGACAGGGAGGTCCCAGGTTGGAATTCCGGTGACTGTGTACTGGTGAAGAGTACCGGAATAGGACGAAACAGCTATTCAATACTAACTGCATTTCCAATGGTTCCGGTTAGGGTTCGAAAGTTACAACAAGAAAAAGAGATTTAAAACTGGTCCTAACTTCTTCAGGGAAATAATCAGGACTAACACATCAAAGATATGTATAAATGGTGAGACGCGTCTAGTATCTAATGACACCTCACAAAAATGGAATGTCTAAGAAGGCGAGGATAAAAGTGATATATGATAAGTCCTCTAGGTAATATCTACGAGTTTCTGATTACTCTTATGAATTCTTTGTTAAATATAATTTCGATTGTTCAACTTGCGAAAATGAATCACTGAAAACAAAATTTCCTTCGCTGTTTATGTCTTTTTGCTATGACTCAATATGGGAATATTCTGTTCATTTCAGAGAGAATTTTGAAAGGTTGATTGAAAATTTTTTAAAGGTACTGGCACTGCAGTGCTCACATAGCTGGTTATATCAGACCAACTCTCAATAGATTGGTGTCATTATTTAGATCTAACTCTTTTTCAACTTGACTGTTCATAGACACATAAAAATTATACTTCCATAAATTCAGTGAAATTGAAACCAATAACTCTTACTTTTTGCTCGCTCAGTAAAACAATCCAAGATTTTTCAGAAAAAAATTATCAAAATTAAAATATCATAGGTACATATAAATGGAAGGACATATCTTTTATCTAGAACCTTTGTCTAATCACGTCTGAGTTATAAATAATAACTAAAGCAAAATTGTTAGAATTACTGATGTTATACAATGTAAACAATGGGTCTCTGTGTGCACTTCTAAATTAATTTAAATGTTCTCACTATGGTGATTGTAGAACAAAATTTAACTAAATGTATATTTTCGGTAATTCCTTATCAGACATAACAGTTATGTAATAAAATGTTAGTTTTAAACACTTGAAATCATTGTGGGTAATAGAATTAATGTTCAGGAATGTGAATTAGTGATACTAATCGAAATAATAATAATAAATCCATACAAATGCTGATTTAATCTAAGTTGTCAGTCGATGTAAATGTGTCTGTTTGTTGGGGCAGACAAGAAAAAAAAACTATAGTCTTATAACGACTGTACAAAAAAATTACTGGTTTTATGAATTGTGAAACTCAGGTTAATATATGCAACTATAGTACAGCATAATAATAATAATATAGCACGATACTGATAATAAAGACAATTTTGAACAAAGCAAGAACAGGAGTTTCTGCAGAATAACATGCAAACAATTCATTCGTTTCTCATCAGATGCTAAAAGCGCAAAGATATTATTATGACTACGAAGAGAAAAAAATTTTACACACCTAAACAGAGAGTTCACTTATCAAAAGAATCAATATACGCATACAACGCTAATAATAACAATGGAGATGGTTGGGTTCTCTGAACTATTAGTACTCCCTTGAGTTCCGAGTGGAACATAGGGCTTCAACAAGACATCTCCAATTTGTCCTATCTTCTGCCGTCCTCTTCAGCTTGCACCACGGTTGCCCACAATCTCTCATCTCCTTCTCATACGATCTCTTCCATGTCACCCTAGGACGACTTAATTCCGAAGCTTTCGATGCCATTCTAAACAAACATCTTCATCGTAGCTTTTAGTATAAAACGAACGCATGTCCTTTTGTATAACTTATTATTCTTGATCTACAATTATATATATATATATATGTTATGGTATGTTTTTACGAGTTGATCACAGATTGATATCAGTTAGAGAACCATTGAAAAACAGGGAGTACTGGACAACTGCTGTCTCATCCTAGTTTGGGAATCATCGGCAGTACACATCCACTGGGACTCGAACCCAGGACCTTCCGGTTACAAGGCAAGCTCGTATACCATTCAGCCACTGGGACCCGATTCAATGGCCAGTGCATGAATTCTAACTTCTACCAATTCGTGATTTAGCGATTTGTTAAGTAAAATAAATGTCATTACAGTTCACTAAAGATGCTTGAATTATAATAAGCATACAAATATAATAGCAGATAGAAAATCAAATGAAATTTAGGAAATTTCCACAACAAATTGAGAATTAGAAATTTGATGGCTAAGGTAAATGCTCCTGTGGAGCCAGTTACATAAGCCGTATAATTAGGTGTGTTTTTTGTCTGAAATCCAAGCATTTTCCTGTGTGGTTAAAGTAGAGGACAAACAAAATCCATTCATAGCGCTATTCTACCTCATCTTGTCAATGAGGCTTTCAAAGTCATTTATTGCATACCAACTAATCTTAACTTCACCTCAAGAGTTTGTCTACTATATATTGCTGAGGCCATTGGGAACCATATTAAGAAGGTGACTCAGACACTATCCGTACTTTGGTCATCAAAGTTCTAATGATCCTCAATTTGTTGTGGAAATTTCCTAAATTGTATTTGATAGTCTACCTGCTATTATATTTGTAGGTTTATTATAATTTATGCATCTTTAGTGAACCATAATTCCATTGATCTTAATAACAAATCGATATTATTTAAAAATATTGTTACTGATGTCTGTTCTAGAATATTCCGTGGATATATATATATATATTTGTAGAGGCAGAAGAGGATATTCTAGATATTCTTTCCTTGATTTTTTTCCAAACAAAACTGATCAATTGAGACGTAAATTAACAACCAGTCACGACAGTGTTCGCCAAGAGATACATCTACATCATTCATGGAGAATTTAAATGAATTCATTTCGTACTAAATTCTGTGCTGAAGATGTTGCTTAGAAGAATGACGAAAGCTTCGCAACTACAACTAATTCAATATCATCCACCTGAGCTACAAATCATCTTCATTATTTGAAGGAATATATCGGTAATGGTTTCTTACAAAGAATGTTAGTGATAGAACATGGAATCATTTGGCCTTGTGTATTGAAATGAAAGAGACGAACGCCAACATCCAGTTACCAGAACAAGGAAGGATTGATAATCGCTTCTTTCTGATCGCACTAATCAGGTTCCAGCTGCTTGATGGAGATTGCTTCCACAAACTTGAGGAGCGTTGAAGTATTTTGCCCGTTGATAAGTTTGAACTATCTTGCGACGTCCACCTCATGATCTGTGTCAAGGAGATGCTTAGCAGTCGTACTGTTGAAAGCATTTGTCCCCTTGAAATCGAGGCGTTTTTGGTACATGTTCAGAAAATCGGAGGTATGCACTTCTATCTGTTCTCCCAAATTTAACTGCTCCCGCAGATCCATGTAAATTTGTACATACAGTTGGAGTTGACATGAGAAGGATATCTTTCGACTTTTGATTGCACTAAAGTTGCAGGATAGGCTCTAGTTAATGATATATGTCCAACTGATTTTTCCTGTAATGTTATCATCTTTTAAATCAAGTTGAATGAAGGTAGTATGCACATTCTACCTACACACATTCACTACAAATGACTACCTAGTTCGTATAAAGACTTTTGTTTCAATATTGATTGTGCTAGAATGAAGAACAGATTGGCATGAATGCAGTAAGAGAATTTGTATTTTTTTTAAATGCATGTATGTGATATAAAATAATGTATATGGCTGAAAGCGCAGATTGATGAAGTCGAAGACTCTGCATGTGACTTTGGATGATAGATTTACAACAGTTTGTAAAGCACAACGATCACACACACACATAGGTGCACACAGTAAAAAAAAAAGTAAAACGTATTCCGAGGCTTAAGTTTACATTCTTAAAACAAGTCAGATGATTTGAATCTGATAATATACAAGGACTCTCTCAAATTACTTTATCCGTTGATCATAGACTAACTCAACCTGTAATATTATCAGTAAAGCTTGAATAATAACAAAAGACGATAAAATAATATATATAGAGGAATTTAAAAGATTATTTGTTTAGTTTATCAATCAGAGAAAACAATTTAATAAATTCATCTCGAGCATAACGTAAGTTCTCATTATAAGAATTCTTTCTTATAAGCAATCTAGGAAGCCATTCATCAAGAATTATACGAAAACGATCATTAGGCCTTACATTTTGAAGCAATCGACTAATCCAATATAAAAGACGTCCACTAGAAAATAATATCCAAAAAGGATAAAAACTTATAAAAGGATTTTTAACACATAAATAATCATCATTATTATTATTCATATTCGATAGATAAAATGGACAAAGTACATCAAGAAGTGCAACTAAATGAGTTAACGCAATAGCCATAGTCTGTAATTCATTAAGCTGATGTACATATGAAACACAAAAAGAAGGTGAATTGTTCTGGCAGTGAATTGACTTCGCCTTATCAGCACAATCATTAATATGCGTGTATATACCATCAGCGTAATTCCCATTTCTTTTTTCTGTTCTAAGTAAATTACAGTTTAACTGAACGGCTATTGTACAACAAGCAAGTGCTAGTCCCACTGGAGATTGACGAATTTCAGTTGCTCGATACTGAGCAGCAGCAGCAACACAAGAAGATTTGAACCACATAGTTAATAATACTGCCAAACCTTGCATTTCTGAAGATCCACAATATCTATCTAAATTTACACGAAGAAATTGTGAAAAGAACGATAGGAATGAATATTGCGCTGCATTACTTCTTGGTGGAATTATCGGTTTGACTAAGGTCATCTCTTTTACAATTTCATTACATGACTTTCTACAATATACGATGACGCAATCATTATCAATTCCGCACAACTTTTTACAGGCATTTAAGTGTTTTTCCAATCCTAATATAAGTTCATACTGAGCGTTTAGTAAGCTGGATGCACAATGGGTAATCGGATAGGGAATCGTTAAATCTTCGATAGTAATACGACAAACACTACCATTGCGTACATACATAGAATCTAACAAACTTGGAGCTAATTCCAATTGTTTAAATCGTTTTGTTAATTCCTTTGGCCAGCGGTAAAATATACTTGTCTCATCATTACTTTTCATTGAGATAAAATTTGGAGAACATAATAAAGCTTTTAATAAGTTTACACCAGTTTCTACTTTAGATCGGCATGAATTTATATGAACCTGTCTATATAATTTATCAAATGTACTTGTCGATGACACAGAGAATGAAGCATGCTGTCTAACTGTTAAACCCAGTGAAGTGACTAAGTCTTCAACAGGACTATTGAAGACATATTCCAATATTCCCAGACGTATTACTTCTATGATATTATCCAACTCCTGATCGTTATAAAGTGATAAAACAGCAGTTAAAGGTTGTTCGACATTACCATGGAAACTTAAAAGCCAGTTAAATATAGCATGAATACGTCTTTGATAGAATGACGCGATTTCATAAGTGAAACTTTCAGTTAAAGTGACTACTGCGGAAGGAAGACGTATATCTGACGCCATATCATTCCCACAAAGGACAGCGAAAATTGGTAACAATGGATACTGAAGTTTGTAAAACGGTCCAGATTTATTTAGAAGTGAGCATTGAATGTAAGAACATGGGGCACCGGAACGGTAACATGCAGCACACGGAGAATATTTCCGTTTGCAATCGAAGGAAAACGATGAGAGAGGAATAAAATTGTAGACTTGATTATTATCCAGTGGTCGATATATGAAAAAGTCAGAATCTCCACTAGTAACTGGACAATTCAAATAAATAGAAAGTTGTGCAACACAGAGATCAGCCTCACGCTCACAGGCTGTGTAACGAATAGAAAACTCCCGTAGAATTTCCACAAGAACATATCGACAAAGTCGAGGTAATATATCAACATTCATAAGATCAGAATCAGAAGTGGTGGCATTGTTCAAGGGTATTGCTGATAGCTTTTTCAGGCCTTCAGTACTTCGCTTCAACAGAGTGTTTAGTTTTGATCCCTATATTAGAAAACAAACAAAATATGATATTAATTTACAGAATTTCCGTGTTACACATAGCGAGCGGAATCGGTGAAATCATATTGTGGAAAAACAAATCGTAAATTATACAGAAATACACTCTATCCTACTGTTCATTCACAATGCATAAGCTCACTGCTAAGCATCAAACACGATATGTGTGAAGTATCAACTAAATGAGTAATGCTTAGTTATGAGGTGGTAAATTACATGTTCGCTGGTTCGTGATGTAATGATTAGGCTGTTACCTGCCGATACCTATTGTTTCCCCAGCAATTCTATCGAAGCTGGAGTTTGGTCAAATTATGAATTGTGCGTCGGTGGCATAGCGGTTAGGACGCTCGCCGACCATGCACATGGTCCGGGGTTCGATCCCGGCCGACGCACTCCTTTACCTCGCTAAGCCAGAAATAATGCTGGTAAAGAGGAAAGGTTGGGCATGAGGCTAGCAACCCCATCCTGTAAAATAAACACTGCTACAGAAACTTCAAGCCACTAGCTTGAAGCCCTATGTTCCACTGTGGAAAAACAAAAAATGAATAAATACATACACCTCTATTCTATGAAAGAGATGGGTTTGCATAACACTCAACCTCAACAGTTTGACAATGTGAATCAAAATACATCTCATGAGCACAAAAATTTCGCCTTTTTGTTTAGCTTCACATGATGCCCCTGTAATTTCATCACGTTTTCATACATTTCCTCAACTATTCCTTCTAACTATTTGATTAACGCTGATGCTACTGGCTTCATTCTTTCATTTTTATATTTGAAGAACTCTTCCTGATCAGTTTAGCATGAAGTACTACAAATTGAAATTGTAAGGGGTTTTTGAGAGACCCTATTTTCCTTGTATCTCTCTGTTGATTTAGTCATAGTTCTTAATCAAACGTCTCGTGTAGTGTACTATATCTGGGGGCAGTAAACGAACCTATGGCCATAGTTGTAGATTTGTAAAAAAAGGCAACAAGCGAAGTACATTATGAAAATAGAAGAGATATAAAACTTCAGAAGAAGATGAAGAAGAAAAACAAACCTCTTTAGGATGACATCCACCGAAGACAAAAATTGGTTCAATACGACAAAGCCGAAATTTCTCTATAATTGATTGGACATAACTTTTGTAAGTTAAGTACTCTCCTCCATATTGACACTGGAATGCTGCTTTACGATAGCAATGAGTTGCAAAGTTTTCCCCATCAATTATTAAAGATTCATTATGCAACTCGTATGGAACAAAGTTTTGACTGTTGCTGTTAACGTAAGACCACAATCCTCGAATACCCATCTAACCTATAAAAAAAAGGCGTTATAGATGATTTAAATGTCATTTTACAACAACTTATAGGTGGTTAGTGCTCTAGATCAAACCTACTGTGTAAGGGATAACGATACCACTTGGTCGGTAAGGTGAGTAGGCTTAGAGAACGAGACTCTTTGTTTAAAGTAAGCTACTGCATCACTGTAGAACTTGTAGCTTCAGTGCCAGTTAGTAAGTACCTTTAGATTAACAAATAGGGAAACGAAGAACGATAAAAGTGGAGAAGAACATGCAACACTGAATACTTACTGTACATTCATTATTTAACAGCTGCATTACAAATGAGAAAAAAAACAACCCTTTAATGAACCCTAAGAATAATCCATAATTCTCATCACCAAATTAACAACCAAGTAGTTTTCGGAAATCGATAGCAACCAATCTGTTTTATTGAAGAGGATGGATGATAGAATGTATCATCGCTGCGGCTAATTGTTACGTTGTCGAATATTACGTGTAGAAAAACGTGACTTGGGTAGTTTTGTTACCACTCATGATGCAGCATAATCAAGCTGATATTCAACTGGTAATCAAATCACATGTGTTCTTGAAGAATATAACTTATCCATGGTAAAAATCTCTTAAGATTTAGCGAAAACAAGCTTGAATTCTATTGAAAAAGAAGTTGCAAGCAAAAACAGAAAAGAAAAACCAATGAAAATGATAAATACTTTTTATTAATAAACTATGAAGAATATGAAAAAGTTTCCATAGAAAATAATATTATCAAACAGTAACATCATACATCTTATTCGAAAAACTGTACATCTGAATTCAAACTATTTATCATATATTATATGTTTCCAGACCGTAGGTGTTACGAACTTCCTGGAATAATTTGAGCGCCGAGTCAGACTGATTCATTATAAATTATATAAATTAATCCCAGCGTGTTAAGAAAATCAAAACAAGATTTTTTTGAACGTTTCGCTGTGTAAGCCACAGCTACTTCAGCAGATGAAAAAAAACAACAAACACTCTAGGAGCCTCCGTGATCTTTTAAAACATGTAGTATCACGTTTATCACGTATTTTCCATATGACTAATAACATACATACACACACACACTCATACAAAACTAATCTTTACAAATCAACTACAGAAGAGTGAACACAACAACAATTTGACATTAGTCATTACAAATATATGTGATGACTGCTTACATATTTCTATTGGTAAAAATGTCCATGGACAAATTACCTTCAAATAAACTGACTTCAATTTATGTAAAATAAATTTTGAATATATATTTTGATGATTAATAAAAGTCTGAATAAATCTGCTGAAGAATCTGTGGCTTACACAGCGAAACGTTCAGAAAAATCTTGTTTTGATTTTCTTAACACGTTGGGATTAATTTAAATAATTTATAATGTTCAAATGAACTGTCGTCAAGATTTGACAGAATAGTTCTAAAATATTTGGGCGCCGAGTGAGAAGTAGACATTTGTAAAATCTCAGCGAGATTGAAATGAGAAATTCCAACGTTTCGTTCGGCAATCTGGTCCGAATTTCTTTAGGGAAATTAATCGAAATTCGTAAGTCCGAGGTTAAATTTTGATCACAGCTCGTACAATTTTTTATTTATTGTACTTGTTAATACTTGTTTTATGAATCATGATTGGACAGAGTATTTAAAAACAAGAAATGTTCCTTTTATATACAAACCTCTGTTATGTTAATTTTGATTAATATCCTGAAGAAGTTCGGACCAGATTGCCAGACGAAACGTTGGAATTACTCATTTCAATCTCGCTGAGATTTTACAAATATAATTTTTTACAAATTTAAAATGTATTTATCATATATCAAACATGCAGGTATGACACAATGACAATTACTCGGAGAGTAATTACAACTAATTGATTTTGTAATCATGGTCATATATTTAAATATGTAGGGAAACTATTGGTTTTCACTATAACAGCAAGTAATGATTAAGTATAAATATCAAACTTAATTGTAATTTTGAGTATTAGAGTCTTGCTTATTTCATGACATGATCTCAAGGCGAATTCCCCTAAAGCGTCGGTGGCACAGTGGTTAGAACTCTCGCCGACCATCCACATGGTCCGAAGTTCGATCCCCTACCGACGCACACCCGATATCAATGGTCGGCCTACAAAATTTGGGCTACCGATATCACATGCTGAAAATTCCATACTTGTTCCAAAAATACAGTATGGAATCAAGCTGTAGTCAAAAAATAAATAAATAAATAAAGGGAGAGAGAGGGATAGTGGACAGTAACCAGTGTAGTTTGCAGATACAAAGTGTATTGGTTGGATTCTAAAATATATGTTTAATATGGAAGTTCATGATATACTGCGTCTGCATAATACTACTAAAAAAAAAATAAGTTAAAAAACCCAGAGACGGCATTGCATCTGATTATCAGATATGTCATAAAATCACTGTGGAATATAATCCTCAAATAAAATTATGGATTTGTATCGCTGAAAACTCCTAAAAGACAATTAGTGTTCTCGGTATCCAGTGATTTTGTAGCTGATGTTCATCCGTCATTAGAAAAAAACAACTGCCCTGATCAACATGATCCCTGACACATGGAAATCATAGCCAACTGGTAAACTGAAGTACACTCCTAGTAAACCACAGTTTTATTCGAAGTATGTATGACAAAATATTTAAAATCTAATTGGAGTAAATGAATGAAAACTATAAATTTAAGCATACTTTACCAACCCACAATTACAGTATAATTTTGTACACTTACACTCAATCCTAAGTTTATAAGTGCTTATTAATTTACACTATATAGTAGAATGTGTCAACATTTCTAGATCAATTATAAAAGTAGTATATACAAAAGTCGAACAGTGTTCATAAGAAAAAAAAAGAATTGAAAATAGCAGCTATTATATTCTTGATGTAGAAAAATATTTACAAGTAATATACAACTGAGGTCAGTCATCACGCCAAACTGCATCCACGGCATCTGTACGATAGCGTTGAGAGACGATAGAATCGTTCAGAGGGAAACACAAACCAGCATTAAACATCAAACATGCAGTGTGTGCTATCATGGCGCCATTATCAATACAAAATCGCTCATCGGTTGCAAATAATTTGGCACCACGTTCTTCAGCCATACAACCCATCATTTCTTGTAAACGAACATTGCAGCCAACTCCACCGACAATGAGAACCTCCTAGGAATAGAAAAACACAAAAACTACATAGCGAAAAAAATATCCACTATATATATGGACATTCGGAGACATGACTGGCAAAATGATCGACTGTTAGACACTAAATCTTTGCCCTGTGAAATATCCAATACTGGTTCAGAATTATCTAAATGAAAATCTTGATGGCAATACATTCGTTTAGACTTTATCTGAAAATAAATAAAGCCCATTTAAGCCACAAAGGAGCGCAGTCTGTTGAATGCTCGCAGTCTACTTTGATAGTATTCAGTTGAGTAGAGCATCAACTTAGGAACTAATCACTGGGAAACAAGCACAGCGATTAAAGAACCATGGATTCATTAACATTTAAAAAGTAAACCAAATTATTACCTTGAAGATTTCTTCGAAATCCATAGCTTACTGCTATATAAATCACATGTCTTGGTTTTTGTAATAACTAGTCACCAGTGTTCATTAATGCTTTACAAAAAAAATGAAGAGCTCCGACTGTTCGTGGACATTAGAAACGCGTTACTCTGATATATTCCAACCTGAACTAATATATGCAAAAAACACGGACACTGTGGTAGTATGTAACTCCAAATTGATTTGGTTATTAGATAATATCACACAGTATGTGTGGTATATCTAATTAAACAAATTAACATGGAATGTATCTTCAATCTGATTGGTCACCTAGTGATAATGAAGGTGCATTTTAAATCTGACTGATTATCACTTCCTTATCGATTTTATGAAATGAGTATTCAGTGCTTTGTGTTTTAACAGAGCATGTGCAATGTTGTGATTAGTTGATCTTTTTAGTTCAAAAAAGGGGTGACAATGATGATCTGATTGGTTAACTATTTTGTGCTTGAGAATACATTGCGCACTCATTGGTCGACTTACTCTAACAAATGAAAGCGTTCACTACCAATGAATTTTTTGATATTTGGAAAAACAATTCTCACCCTAATACGTTTAATAGTACTTAACTTATTTCATTAAAAGGTTTTATTATTTATTTGAATGCAGAAAAAACTTGGTACAATATGGCACCAAGAAGGATGCGCCGCCACACAATAATAATAACTAGGGCGCGATGAATTTCAATGACAGTTTGTTGTTTTAGTTCATTTGTTGTGTGAGGGCTGAGATACTGCCCGGGCGCCCAGACCGAAGCAGGTGATTTTCTTAAGCGTCCACCCCCCGAGCCCTTGACTTGGAGTCTAATCCACAAGGCAGCGGAGCAGCGTCCGGAGCTGCGTTCCCATGGTTGCCAGTAACCCATATGGGTTCATACGCCATTTGATCCGACTAGATTCTGGAGCCCATGTACCCCATGGTAACTGCTTTTAGTCTAACCGCTATCCAAACAACCTTCCTGACATAGTAGGACCTGCATGGACAAGAGTCCCAGCCAGTTTAGCTTGTTGGGCCACTGCGGTATTCAAGCCCGACCACCAAGGCAAGGTAGCAGTTGTCTGTCGGGCCATTCATTAAAAGGGACCTCAGTTGATATAACTCCATAGACAGACAGTCAGTGGTTTGAAAGAATTCAAACAAAAGCTTTTTGTTAGACTTTTTCTCAGATTGTAGTAAGTTTCTATACATCGAAATAGTAGTCTCTAGATAGGCAAATTTCTCTATACGATATTGTTGCTTGTAATTCAAACAATGGTTTGTTTGAGCTTTTTTTATTACATACATGAGTTCAAAAATGAACATCTTAATTTTTTGACGAATTCTGCTGATACTAAGTACCGGTTTTTTTCTCATTAGGTTATACTCAGTCAATGTTAAATACAAATGAATTTAAAAAAATGATAATAAACTTTGGCAGTCTTATTTTTTTTTTGAAGTTAATGGACACTACTTGATTCTGGATTCCTTTGAACTGACTGATTTGTAACTAGATGGAGTGTTAATGAACTGTTAAATTAAGCACTAAAATACTATTCCAATAGTGGAGAAGACAGTAGTGAGAGAAACTCAGAAAATAAGATTTATTCCTCCAGAGAAAAAAAAGATGTAAATGACCAAAATGAATCAAAATTCTTAGACATTTTCCTTCAATGAACTACAAAACACTTGGGGAAATATAAATCCCTATAATTAGCAAAAAAATTGCGTGCTATAAACTTACCTTTGCATTACAATGTGCCATAGCTCGTTCAGTGATTTCAACAACCATAGCGAAAGCTGTTTCTTGTAGACTGAAGCATAAATCAGCTACAGTATATTCACCTGTTTCTAAGAGTTTAGGAGCACGTTCTTCCAAATAGGATAATAATCCAGCGAATGAAACATCCATACCTTTTACTGAATAAGGTAATTCGAAAAATTTAGATCCTTGTTTTGCTAACTTTTCAATATTGTAACCTGGACTAGGATCATTCGAGAGATTGACAATACGAGCAAATCTAAATAAAACATGAAATATCAATAGTTAGATACGACTGGACAATTTCTATCACTAAAGTAATTGTGGCCAAGAAACTGATTAACAGAGCCAAATGTCTAATTAATGAAGCAGGAAGAGATCAGCAGGGGACTAAAATTGGTTCAATCCACTCTTGAATCAAATAATTATTCTAAAGCCTTAATAAAAAGTATTTAAAATGTGAAGGTAAGTAAGGATCGAAACATGTTGCTAAGAATTGGATTAGTACAGCAGTGATTCCTTACCGCGAAGAAACATCCGATGAAATAAAGTGAATCACGACATACGAGTGTATTTTCGTGCAACTGACACATTATGCTCATCACTGGTGAAGCTTAAGAATAAAAATGAAAGAAGACAACCAACAGAACTGTGTGAAGTAGATCAATTGTTGGGACTGTGACGCCGTATATGTAAGAGAAACTTCCAGACAGGTAAATGTGAGAGTGAAATAGAATAAACAATGTCTAAAGGTGGTTCCAAAGATCTTCGCAGACTTAAAGAAGGTAGAAAACAGATCAGAGATGGCACTGCATTCGGTAGAAGCGGGACACAAAATCAACTCTGATAGAACTAAGGTTCTACAGAAAGGCTTTGGCTCGTATAAAGAGAGACTGACTGCAGAAGCTCTGCATATATGGGTCAATCCCAACAGTTTGAAGAAACGTGAAGGTGTGATGTTAGCTGATGCACGACAAAACCTGACTAATAAATAAAAAGTGGATATATATCACCAATTAGTCACATTGGTCTACATTCCCGATTGTCTATATCTTCTTGTAAAGAGGTTAAAAAATGTTTTACAGATGTTTACCCATACGCACACAAACACCATTGTACACCGCATATTCATATATACATATTTCATATTCAGTTATCTATGACCATGAACTTTTAATCGAATGTAATCACTAAAATTCTGACGAAAAGTATACTCTATTCAAAGTGTTTAAAAATAGGAGACTAATATTTGTAAAATTAAAGCAATTAGTCCATTTGATAAATTTGAATAAGGCATTCAGAAGACAAATTTTGCAAGATGATATCATTTCGTAGTTTCTTTATAACCGCTTTACAACTGATATGGTTCAAAACAATAAAATAAAAGTCATGACAATTACTCAGTTAAATAAAACAAAAGTACATGCTAATGACCAGTCATATTCAAATAAGTCAAGTAGCCCTTGGTAGGCGAAGGTTTAAGTCTATATATATAAAGCATCACACCATCAAATTTAGGAGGCAGAAATCAAGTTTCATGGTACACTAGACTTCAGATGGATTTTTCCGCTCATGTTATCGTGTTAATAATATTCCACGCAATTCATTAGTAACACATTATTTAAACCAAATGATGGAAAGGAAACAAAAAGAATTCAATTTGTGGAGTAAAAGAGACAAATAAATATTTTAAGGATTTGGTTTGTAAGGATTAGATTTTTTTCTGGAGTTTGAACACGGATTGATGTCAGTTAGAGAACTGTTGAAAACCAGCCAGTATTGGACAGCTGTTTCATCAGCCTAGTTGAGGAATCATTGGTAGTACGCACCCACCGCCAGGGTTCGGACCCAGGTCCTACCGGTTCCAAGGCAAGCTCGTATACTATTCGGCCACTGGGACCCAATTCAATGGCCCATGAATTCTAAATTCTACCAATTCATGGCTATAGCGCGATCACCAACCAATATCATCGGTTGGAGATTCATCGTCACACTTGACTGGATGAACCTCACTGGTCACGACCACTCACTAGACCTCCAAGAAACTCAGTCCTGTAGCAAGTCACTAGCCAGCATCAGATTAATTTTCAAGAGTTGGTTTGTAAGGATTAGATTTGTTTTGCCTTCTACCGGAAGATTCTGGGTCCGATCTCTGGCGGTGGGTACGTACTGCCGATGATTCCCAAACTAGGCTGACGAAACAGTTGTCCAGTACTCCCTAGTTTTCAATGGTTCTCAAACTGACATAAATCCGTGGTCAAACTCGAAAAATACATATAAATATCTTCAGACAAATTTACTTACATTTTATCATTAAAGTCAATGTAAGTATTTGAAAACCATCAAATGTATTTTCAAATGAAATAAGGCTAATTACAATAATGAACTATACAATATTATTCGTTTAGGTTCCAAGTGGAACATGCGGGTTCAGCAACACATCTCCATTTCATTCTGTTCTCTGCTGTGGTCTTTAGCTCATAGACTGTCGTCTCCTCCCTAAACGATCTCCTCTATGTCATACTTGAAGTAACATTCAACTCATTGTTTCCCATTCGAGTTTTGTTTGAGCGCCTGTCAGGAGGTATCACTCAATGGTCTTCTCATAGTGTTGCCCCCATTCCATCTCCATTTTCTTCGGTGTATTTGTTGGGCAATAGGTTATTGGTTGATTCGTTCCCAGTTTTCCTTGTTGCTAAATGAGAGAAGTGACCTCCTTCAAATTTCTTTTGTTGATAGTGACCGGTGCTTGTTATTCAATATGCTTAGCCGAAATACTCATATCTTACTGGAGAAGCTTACCAATAATATTGACTTCAACACAAAGCAAAATCTAGTTTCTTCTTAGTATTCAGTAACTTTTCACTTGACTAGTATTACGACGATACTTTTCAAGAGAATAATTAATCATTTAATACACGTGTAGGTCAAATTAATGCAAACTAACCTGTCAAAACAGTTTCCCAGTGCTATATCAATTGTTTCACCGAAAATACGATAACGACCAGAAACGAAAGCAATGATTTGTGTATTACCACCGCTGACATAGAGTATAATAGGTGATTTTGCACCGGTAATAAGGCGACCCATTTCAATATGTGCTATACAATGATTAACTCCAATCAGTGGTTTGTTCCACAATTGGGCAAGAGTACGAGCAACAACAGCACCAGTTAAAAGTGGAGCTCCCATTCCAGGACCCTGAGCATAAGAAAGATGAATTTTGTAGATATCTACGTTTAAAAGATGAGCAGTACTTATCAATTTAGTTTAAGTATTAAGTCATCGCAAGAAAAATACGTAAAGTATTTTCAATGGATGCATAAATTATTCACAAAACACAAAACCTAGAACAATATATACTATTCGCTGAATATGTGTCTGAAATATCTTAGACAGTTGGCAAAACTATTACTTATAGTTAGTTGGAACTCAGATAGATGCCAGTGCTTGGCTATAGGCTACACTTCGCGAGTGACGCCCGGCAGTACTACCCAGTTACCCAGGTTAAAGTTGGTGGGACTGGGATTCGAAACGATGACTTACTGGCTGACAGTCGAGTGCTTATGCCAATGAGTCACGCCTCCAGTATTATTAAAAACAGGGGGGGATATTGTGACAGTTTAATTCTAACATAGCATAACTACATATGCATTGGCAAACAATAATACCCATTTATTCATAAGTGAAAACACAGTTTTTTTGTTCAGTGAAGAAATTTCTTTTCAACGATTTCATTTTCAAGCTGTACAATCATATTTATATTACAGAAAAAGGTTATTAAGTGGTACTTAATAATTGGTCAGTCAATATACATATATAAGTGATAAGAATAACGATAATTAGAATGTTATAAGGGGTAGAGTTGAAGTGGATGGATTACAAAATTATTAAAGATTGTTTTATAAGTGAATTGATAACAAAAATATTTTTTTCAATGTCAAGCGTTGTCTAAAAATTTTAAAAATTAGGAGTATGATAACGATAGGAATAAATTTTGATAGCGTTATTAGAAGACGGAGATTATCTGAAAAATGTGATGTATTTGCGCTATGCATTTTGAACAATCTAATCCCCCACACATTTGCTTGGCAAGTCGATATATATGGAAAAGTTAAATTAAACAAAGTGACAAAAAAGAATTAAGAATAATTAACACAACGTTTGGTAATCCAATCAAATAAGGATTACCAAGGTAGGTTTAGAGTAATAACAAACTGTTTTTGAATACACAACGGGGGGGGGGGCTGAAGTTTATCAATAGCTATAGCCTCAGTGTATTTCAGTAAACGCCCTTGACCGTTTTTACAGATGACCTTAAGGGCTGAGTCAACATCAATCTTATGGTTGTGAAGTGAAGTGGAATGAATTCAAGTGGTAAAATAAAATAAAATAAAAACTACAAAGAACAATACTATGACCAAGGTAAAGAAAGGGGTTGGACAAAACGTCTGTGAACACATAATTTAGGTTTCTGTTCATGTATAGGTAAAGCTTCGGCTAGGCATAAGTGAAGAAAACGTAAGCTTTTGAGAGATTCAATTTTGCCATGTAGATAACCTTGAAGGAGGAATCACGTAAGGCTAAATGAAAAGACTCCAACAGGTGATCACAAATAGACGAGTTTGCAGTTCTACGTTCGCCTTTTATTAACCAAACCGGATAGTGTTCAGCTACACGTTTTGGGAGAGTACGCTTACAACGTCCAATATAACCAGCTCCACAGGAGCAGGTAAAAGAGTAAATGAACATAGACTAAAATTTTTAGACAACGCTTGAGATTTAAAAAAAATATTTTTGGTATCAATTCACTTATAAAACAATCTTTATTATTTTTTTGATGACAGCTTGATTCCATACTGTATTTTTGGTACAAGTATGGAATTTTCAGCACGTGATATCGGTAGCCCGAATTTTGCAGGCCGACCAGAGATATCAGATGTATGCAGAAAGGGGATCGAACCTCGGACCATGTGCATGGTCGACGAGTAATCCATCCACTTCAACTCTACCCCTTATAACACTTTAATTATCGTTATTCTTATCACTTATATATGTATATTGACAGACCAATTATTTAGTGTTACTTAATAACTTTTTCTGTAGTATAAATACGACTCTACAGCTTGAAAATGAAATCGTTGAAAAGAAATTCCTTCACTGAACAAAAAAGCTGTTTTTTTTCACTTATGCAACGATGATACAACAAACCATGAAGATAGTTATTGCAAATTTATTTTCAAACGACTAAAAGTATCCAGGGATTTTAAAGCTTCAAACAACCCATTTTCAACATAACACGTAAATACAATGCCGAACCAACCTTAAATGGAAATATAAATAGAAGTTAAGACTAACGGACAGTTGGATTCCGTCGCAGTGGCTGAATGGTCAACAAGACCGCCTCGTAATCCGACGGCAGTGGATTCACTACTCCGTGGAGTCATGGGTGTGTATTGATGAAGCACCAGAATGTAACGACTGTCCAGTATTCCCTGGCTTTCAGTGGTTATTATTTTTCATTCCAATACGTTCTCAGTGGAATATACGGCTTCAAGATGGAGCTTTCAAGTTTCAGTAGCAGTAGTCGTTTTCACTCAGTGAGGTTGCTAAGCCCGCGCCCAAACTTCCCCCTTTGTTGCGTTCACAGTCGACTTAGGGATGTAAAGATGTGACATAGCCGGAAATCATATCCCGGACTACGTGCATAGTTGGCGAACATTTTACTGCTGAACCACCGACGTACCAGCGTTATCTACTATGGCTTGGATGGGTTTTTTTGTACCTTGTATTAATCCATCATCAAACTCAAAGCCAACCTAATCCCCGTAAACCAACAAATAATTGAATGAGGAAGTTATTTTAGGAATTCAATTATGCCTTGCATATACTATCTTTAAATTCCAGGGCATAATATATAGACAAATAGAAGATGTAGCAATGAGACTACCAATATTCCCAATCCTAGCGGATATCTTTATAGATAGTTGATATGTATCCACATATATATATTTATGTGTGTGTGTGTGCATGTTGGTCTCTCTTTCTGTTTGCTCGGTTAGTCTGTGACCATTTCACTGGTATGAACTTGTCTCCTTTATCAATGTATATTTCTCCTTATATTATATTATATATAATATGAGTGTTTGTTGACAGTCCGTTGCTTAGTGACATATATCCATATATGTTTGTTGACATGTCTGCTATATTCGCTATGTATAATTGGATCGACACTCCATTATAATTAGCCATTCATGTTAAGACTGTCTAATGATTTTCCCACGCTTGTCTGAATTATTTATATATATTCGCATTGACAATTTGTGTGAACTACTTTACTTTACAACTACTTTACTTACTTACCACTTTGGTGTGAGACCATTTATTTTCGTCTCCTTGTGTTTGGACAATAGAAGTATCATCGCAAACCTAGTGGTCTTCTGATTTTCGCCTTCTCGCGTCAGGACTATTAATTTCTCGACCAGTCCATAACAATAATTTAGCGACGAGTACATAACAATAGTAGGGGAAATATAGCTCATAATACATTGAATCCTACTCCAAAGACATAGTATAGATATGTAGATGACACTTTTAGAGTATTAAAAACAGAACATAACTCTAGTTTCTTCACACATATAAACTCACTAGTTAAGGGGATAAAATTTACAATCGAGTCAGAGAATGAACAAGGAGATTTAGCTATGTTAGATTGTAAAATAAAACGAACGGAAGAAGATAAACTGCACACTAGCGTTTGTAAAAAGCCAACGCATTCTAGTAGATGCTTAGATTTCAATTCATCTCATTCGTTATCTGTAAACGCTGGCTTAGTTAAGTGTCTAACATACCGAGCGATAGCACCAAGTAGTACAACAAAAAACCTAAACGATGAAATGAAACAGGTGGAAGGAGCGTTGGTGTTAAATAACTATCCTATAAAGTGCATTAGGAAGATCAAAATAAAAATAATGGTGAAGCTAATAATCATAACACAAACAAGAAAGAATATTAGACATCTACATTTTTACCATATCAGGAGGGGACATCTAAGGCCCTATGTAGTATTCTTAAAAAACAAGAATCAGACTCCAGACTCACTAAGGTAGGACAAGCACTGTACGTTAAAGGACCCTGTTGACCCAATTAGACAAAATAATAGAATTTAAAAAACACCTTGCAATGACTGTGAGTTAGGTCAACTACATAGGTCAAACTAGTAGATCGGAGGTAGTCAGATTGTCAGAACATAAGAATTTAGCTAAGGTTAGAATGATTGACCCCGCGAAGATTTTAGAATTTAGAAAGAAAACGCAGCAGCTGAGTGTACTCCCACACAATAGGGTGGGAGAGAGTTAAAATTCTAAAAAGTAATGTAAGTGGGTGGAGAGACAGGTGGATTACTGAATCTTTGGTCATAGAATCTAAACCCAACATATGCAGTAGGAATGACCCATCACCAGTACCAGAGATATGAAAATACTACCACCAATCAAATCACGAGATGAAAAATAATGGAATTATATGAACGAAGCTAGAAAGTTTTGTAACTTGGTATGAGCAATATATTGTGCTAGAAACGTCACCAATAAGTATTACTGTATAACACTGTGAGACTTCATCAAAATGAAATTTTTATTCGCAATGGAAAATTTACTAAGGTTCTCTATATTACAACTAATTATGCAATTTTAAATATAAAAGTTTTCTTTAATTTAGTAAAATGAAGGTTTTGGAAAAGAGAACATGTTGTGAACAAACGCACAAAGAAAAGAGATTCATACAGTTAGTTGGTATGATCACGTACTCAAGTGATCTGAGAGTCTAGTGGCCAACGTCAACAGCAACACAAATGGTTTGTATACATGATTCACATGCACAGACACATGATATTGTTTAAAGTACAAACAGAGTCACTACTACACATAAAAAAGAATAACGCAAACGACTGAGATAATTTAGTCGGTTATCAAATGCACTTGCATAGTTAGTTATCAGACAATCAAATACAAACTGTGGTAGGTAATTCACCAGTTCATGTAGGTAGTATGTGTCTGTCACTAACATGTGATTAACAAATCATTCGAAAAACAGCTATAACTAACTGTATAACTGCGCTCAGTAAAACAGCTAACTCATCTGAAGTAAATTGATAGGGGGCTTATATGAATAAAACTAAAAATCGACTGTCTATAAAGTCTTAATTAACAACACACATACTAGCAATTCTGTGCATACTAGAATATTTTTAAAACTAACTAACCTTGGTATAAGAAACAGCATTCAATTCAGATGGATCAATTTTTGCCTCTCTGATAGCCTTTCGAACAAGTTCAATGATATGTGATTGGTGAAATCTAGCTGTTTCTGTCGGTTGGAAACCCTCTCCAGGTGGAGTAATATACGTTACTCTTGGATTAGCAAGGACTGTACCATCTTGCACTATTCCAACACCCAACTTATTTGCGCTTCCTTCAATACCCAGTATAATTGTCATTGTATCTACAAGTAGCGAAACAACAATTCATGATTGCTAGCAATAAACGTTATATATATATATATATATATATATATATATATATATATATATATATATAGTAAAGCGATCAAGCTTCTTCAAGTGCGTGTTATAACTGAATACGTTTCATAATAACTTATATAAAACGTTTTATTTAACTTCATAAGCCCACTTGGACTCTATCTTCACATACTACTATGAAATAAGTACCATAATTCGACTAAATTAAAGTCTTACGAACAACACCAATCACTTCCAACAGGTTTACATGTCATAGCAATGTAATTCCACGGATAAATAGAAAGTCGTGTATCACAAGTCTGAAGGTTTAACGGCCAAAAATTAAAAAAACCTGACCGCTCAGACTAAAGCAGATATAACAATACGAAACGTGAGAATTTAAGCTACTGACCCACTAAGAAAATCGTGATTTTAGTGAATAGCTGGCATTAGACGAATTCGTTAAAATATTCTTGCAGAATTACTCAAAGATTTGATTTCCTTCTTTCTAAAAAAAGGGTCTTTTATTTCATCGAGATCTTCACAGACAGCATCAAACACAATGGTGCTGATATGAGACCCACTCGGAAATTCAGGAGGTATATAACACCTTATGAGAACAGATTCCTCCTGCTCTCCATGCCGTCAAGCCGTTTTCTGTACAACCTGCAACACTTTATATCAGATGCTCTAATAATGTGAGTGGACAAAAATGGAGTGGTTAGCGAATATTTTCAGGTAATTTATAAGAGGGATGTTTAGAAAAGTATGACACAAATCAAACAGGTGCCTGACAGATTGTGGACACTTCCGAATGCACTGATTTTGCAGCTATATCATGCAGTCATTTTTGCAGGCTTTTTTATTAGAATTAACAATGGTTAACACAATACGGCGTGATTTAAACTGAATCAACCGGTTGAATACTTAGACTTTTTATTATACTCTTGTCAGTTAAATGTGAAGACTTAAACAAACAGTAATAATTTGATGAAAGGATTTTGGATACCTCTCTCTTTAATCCAACGAATATATTGCAGATTAGTAAAATGTGAATAGAGCATACAAAACATATGAATACGGAGGTGTACTGTACAGAAAGCTACAGATGGTACACGGAACTCTGAATATTTTTCACGGTGATAAAAGTAAGTAACTTACCGACAAATTGATACAGAAATTTGTAAATATGCATATATCGCTCTGAATTGCCAGATTTCCAAGAACCACAAATTAAAGTAAGGAGACAAAGTTTATCAAGCCAATTCACAAAGAATCGTCAAACATTGATTCTTAGAATCTAATCCCGATAAATTATACACGCCTATGTGGCAAAAATCAAAGGTCAATAGCTTATGGGATGGTGTCACAGTTTGGTCTAACCACTTTTAAAACTTTTTTTTCAATTTAATTCTCACTCGGATCGATGAAGACGGTGACTTAAGAAGGTGTAATAGGTGTCCTAGATGTATCAATCGACTTATTCTCCCATCGAACACTCTACATCTACCCTTCCTACTACTTCACAAATCGATCCATTTAATAGAAAGAATATAGTCCAGAACAAAAACCTGTGATTTTTCCATGTGGTCCACTTTCACTAACCATGTGTCATTCCCGTAAAACAGAAAAAACTAAAATCCTGTGTAGAATGTTCTTCCTCTCATAGGCAAATGGATATTATGCTGAAGTTAAAGATGTAGGTATTTGTTAAATACCCGACAAGCATTCTGAATTCAGGCTGAGACTTCGTAGATGAACACTTTATTTGAGATGATGCAAATCCCCAAATTAAGTGGCATATTCAACATATTTAATAAGGTTTCCTTCTAGCGAAAGAATGGCAATAAGTACCACATAAAATTGCGCATTCAGCAGCATAACAATCAAAAATGAACATTTGAGTATGAGACAAATTTATTTAAAATGCTGAGTACATGGTATAACATATATTTTTATTCGCAACTAGCATACAGACAGATATCAACGACATTTTTCGAGTGAATTGCCAATACCGGAGCAGTAGTGACTGGTGAATTAGTCCGTGTTTGAACTACACTGCCTGAAGTTGTATTAGGGCAACCGAGTGTAGGGAATTTCTTGTTCGTTTTTGATCAGAAGTATCTAAATATAAAAGCATAGAAGTAAATAATTTGCATACGTAAACAGAGCGTAAAAGATGCCTCAAATTACAATGGGTTTTCATTTCATGGGTACTTCTAGTAAAAAAACGAATGTGGGGAAAAGCTAAGCTGTCAGACTGAAGTATACTGCTACACACCGCACATTACTGACAGTAGATACCGTTTTTCCTAAATGTTTCATAAATTTGTGGCCTCAATAAAACAGTTCATGCTGCTAAGACTTCAAAGGCCCATAAAACTGATTCTCCTCAAAACATCGAACTACGGACACTAGTGGATCATGTTTTTAGCTGCAGTTCATACCTATTCACTATTAAACAGCGCACAAACACACCAGAAATACACCTTACAATCTCGTTTCCCTGATATAATATAACTGTACAGGAAAGAAGACGGTGGCTACATTCAAAGCCAATGCATAAACATTACAATATTCGTAAGATGTGTCCTTTCCTTATATTCATGACCAGTGAATTAGATGGTTTCAACGAAAAATTTACATGCTGTTGTGACTCATGCAAAGTCTTGAGAGAATATTCCAATTAAAACTGTCCCCTGTTGTACGAAATCAAACAAAAAGAATAATGAGTCACATTCTCCGAAATCTACATCTACCTACGTTATGTATATATATATATATATATATATATATCCCTTGAGAAATAATTGTTTTGTCACATAAATCCTGGAATGACAGTTGTAATATTGAACTGCTAGCTCACCTACGACTGGAGATCGGGAAACAGCTATACCGCTTAGATAAGCAACACAAGAATGGTTTGGAGACTTCAAGGAATCATACTCCTCCATTTTCGCTTGCTAAAGATTAACTTCTCAGTCAATATTTTAAGAAACAGAAATTACCTATTCTTCCATATTATACAGTGTACCTAGATTTTCCCAAACAACAACAGTGCTAATTGGTTCAATGAGAAATGAATTCGTAGGATTGCACAAATATATCATTTGGAAAGGTTGACCTGCTCCTACAGGTTTATGTTTAAGTAATGCTCGAAATGTTTTGACTTCTAATTCGTAGGTCCATACATATCAGTTGGTTTTGTCAACCATATAAGTAATTCTAGGGCACTGAAAATCGTAAACCAAAATTAAATGCAATAGAAGTAGGCGGATTGCAAGAGGCTTAAAAGAAATACCACAGAATTATTTTCCTCTTGGCTGATCAGCTTGCGAGGAAGCACATGAGTGAAACAATGAAACCAGAATCAATCACTCTACCAACAGAAACAATGTGATTTTACTAAATGAAGTTGATAGTCACAGAAAAGTTAACTTCGGAAAATATGTTTAGGACTATTTTCTGTTGTGAATTCGTAGATGAAGTCTACGAAATGGAATATCGTACACACGGGCATTGAATATGTGTATATTTAAGTTCAAATGTTTCTATGAAGCTGACTACCTCAAATGTACAATAAGGAGTCTCGAAACCTTGGAAGGATCACTATTCTACATGGTTAGGCATTGAAGTGAAAATTACACTTGAGAACCCCACATACACCCACCTAGTTAAAAGTGAGCACATAACATGTGGATAAATTATAACAACTTTCCATCACATTTTCGACTAAATACTGCAGTGTCTATTTATTTTCGGACAGCGGGAGAAAGCTAAGCCATACAGTTGAAACTTCACCTACATATCCAAAGTAATAATTTCTTTTCCATTAACAATTAAGAGATATCATTTTCAAAGAACAAAATGGTGCATAGATACCCTCAATCATTTACCAAGAACCTAGTGACCAAGATTTTTTCATGAGCCACACAACATTTGGGAACTATTGGCACTACTCAGTCTCCCAGCCTGAAGTGCATTGGGAATCGAATAAAGAACCTAAAGACCGATAGTAAACCGCACAATTGAAAATACACTCTGCTGTTGGTGACTTAGTCTTCTCCCTGGTTATTTCTGCTTACTTGCTCAACTCACACCGTGTTGTATACTTCGGATTTATTGTAGGAGTCTACTACTCTCAACCGAAGACGTTTCTACAACCGGAATACAGCAGCTGCAGCGGACGCAACCCAAACAATTAACGTACCTGTGGATTATATAAATAATTTGTAGCAGAGGACTTAAACTTTGTATCCAAGTAATCCTTTTTGTTGATATAACTCGTCACTGCATTTTTGGTAATATATTGTTATTTAACATTCCATTGACTTGAATTATTATTCTTATATTTGTGATATTAGTGAACTCTAGTATTAGACACCGACAGAAGTATTATAATAAAATAAAGTCTCATTTGATTTCATAATCCTTGGCTTTAATACCTTTTTGCAATAATGAGATTCTGTTCTGTTAATTTTATGATCCGAGTTGAACTTACCACTGTTACTTAATAGGTAATCATCTTATCTACCCTTCGGCTTTATCATACCATTGTAATTTAGCCAATTTTTGTTTGGATTTGAGCCTCCTGTGTACGTAACACAAGTGTGATTTTTGAGCACTTAATTGAGTTTGGAGTCACATGTCGACCGACATTATGCAATACTTATAGGTATGTAAAAACCGTTCTGTACATAAACTTAATGATAACTTCAGGATATACGCAACTGGGCAGATTTTGTGAGACTGTGTTCCAGATACGTGTTTCCCCAAAAGATTTTCTTCAGCATTCAGGTCGTTTATCCTGAAGTGCAATTAATGTGCGGTTCTCAGTACTATGGCATAAGTCAAGAAGGTGAGTCCTTTTGCTTAGGTAGTTCGGCCTAAACTTAACTGGTATTTTTGCATTTATCCATTGCTAGACAATGATGGGTGAGCTATACATTATATTCGGGGGTAAGATGAAATAATGTGTAAGACAATACAGAAGTGCGAGAATTATACTTCAAAACGAAACACCTTTGAAATTACTAAAACGGATTATTCAACAAACTGAACTCTCAATTTGACGTAAATTTATGACTTAATAAAAGTCCTCATATATTGTGGGCGAAATCAAACAAACAATGCTGTCTCTTGAGAGCTAGTCAGAAATTCAAGTGACCTTTGTCTAATACCGTGAATAAACTTGAAGCAGCCAAATGCCACTTCCCGAAGTCGCGGGCTCGAGTTACATCGTCTGCTTACTGTCCAAAATAATTATATGCAGTTCGAAGTTTATGTAAACAGTTCAAAAACTGACAGCATTGACAGAAGACTCCAAAGGGCTCCGTAGTTTTGGCTAACCATTGATATCTAGTCAAGTACCTTTCCAGAATGTTTTCTTTTAAACATGCAAATCCTGATGTTTCCTCAGATAAAAATTTATTAGGAAAATTAGGGAAATTTTTCAGCATTTAAATGAAAAATTGTGGAGGAAGGCATAATTTTTCGCTTAAAATCGACTTGCAAGTCTCGAAAATTTTTATTTAAGATACGATATTTGAACAGCTTAAGGCAAAGTTCGCACTACTGCGACGCTATTGTTGAACTTCGCCCAACTAAAATCACTCCACATCTCACAAAAGGCTGGCCTCTGGAAGTTTTGCATATTCACAATTATTTTAAAATAAATCGTGTTAACTCACGGATAGAGGATAGCGGCACAAATGGCTTACGGAGAGGCTGAGCACTTCAAGGTCACTTATGCAAGCTGTGATTGGTAGATTTTCCTTGGCGTAAACGTTGCGGCTAATACGTGCCTTACGTTACTGAAGCGGGCTTTGGAATAGCAATAATAAAAGCGGATAGACATTATATTTTCTAGCCTAAGGGACCAAGTTAACATGCTTATAAATTTCACAGATATGAGAAGCATTAGATCCACTTACAAGGAGAATATTACTGAGAAACTTAATCAAAGAAGTATAAAGTTTGAAGATTTTATCTCTTTCGGTTAATTGTAACGGATGGATACGAGTCACGTGTATAATATTTGCTTTTTATAGAAGAGAAAATGTGACAGGTGGTTTGGAAGTTACACAACTCCTGAAATATATCGTGGAATATATGGACGAGTAATCTATGGAATTTCACCAACTCTGTGGTTGTTCTTTGCTTTGTTCACATATTCAGTGTGGCTAAGATTAGGAA